CTGGGGTCATTGGGGATTTAATAACAAAATAAAGAAGAAAGGGAACATTATTTAACATTGTCCTTTATAAATGTTTTGCTTCTTTAACAGGTGCCCTCAGATAGTGAAAATTATCAAACCTAAAGACGTGCTTCGTCATAGAAAGTCCAAATTTTGTTAAATGTCCATCCAATTAACTAAATCCAATATAATTCTATCTGACGATGGCTTAGCGTAGGCCCAGCATGGCACTCGAGTCGCAATCTGCGGGTCGTGGGTTCGAATCTCCGTCACATCAAACATGCTCGCCCTTTCATCCGTGGGGGCGTTATAATGTGACGGTCAATCCCACTATTCGTTGGTAAAAGAGTAGCCCAAGAGTTGGTGGTGGGTGGTGATGACTAGCTGCCTTCCCTCTAGTCTTACACTGCTAAATTAGGGACGGCTAGCGCAGATAACCCTCGTGTAGCTTTGGGCGAAATTCAAAACAAACAAACAAGCTTGGCGCATTATTGGTTTACGTGTACTTTAGAGCTGTTCATAAAATTATTAAATTGCATATCGTATATTGTGTATTTTCAAAAACAAAAAATTCTGGTTCGATAATTTTGAAACAAAGGTCGTATTGAGCTTTAAGTTTCAATGAATTTGCATATGATTGTATGGGAATAATGTGGTAGCCAAGGGCTTTGGGGTTATTAGAAGATACCTTATTATAACTAGGGGGTTAACGCTTTCTTGAAGCACGAGAATTACAAGTACTTGGTTTGATCCTGGAAGATAACTTAGCGCTCATCTAGTGGGCGAACCTGAGATTAAGCCCAGGGACAAGCCTTGATTTTGAGAGGGAACGAATGTGGTACTTAGGTTGATAGGAAGTGTCTTATCGCAGTCTGAGGGACTAATACACAAACAAAAGCTGGATTTTTACAGTTTTACTTAAGTTGTAGCTAAAATATCTGGTAGACAGTAGTTTTGTATTTACGCTGTATGTTTTAACACATGCGAAACACACGTTTCTTATCTAATTGGTATCTTTTTTTCACTGTTTAGTTAATTTCTACAGCTCTAAATACCTCAAGTCGACTAAATCTTATTAGTTAGACTTACGAATCTGTGTGTAAGTTTACATTAAGATATCTTAATTAATTTTTAGATGAGTCCTCCCAACATGACATCGATAGCGTAATTGTTACTGTAATGAAGTTAATTGTTAAAAGTATCTGTGTAAATATTAAAAATAGAAAATCAGGGTTAACATTTAATAAAAGTCTCCCACTGGCTCAGCGGCATGTCTACAGATTTACAACGCTACAAATTAGGTTTCGATACCTGTAGTGGGCACAGCACAGAAAGCCCATTGTGTAACTTTTTGTTTAACTACTAAAAACGAAAAAAAACAAAAAACAATGAAAATTAACATTTATTTTGAACTGTAAAGACGCACTTATAAAAGCAACTTTCAAATATTTACATTTCTAATTTCATACTTTCCATGTTATTAATGTGGCTACCATTCTAATAACACCCAACACAATGTACAACCAGTTAGTCTTCGTTGATATAAAACGAAAAACAAGGAACCTCCAACTTTACGAGCTGTGGGACGAATTTATTAAATTGTAACCCAACTGTTCGTTTTGCTGCGTTCTTCCAAGAACTTTTATTGTCAGTAGTTTGAAATGCCTCCTTTTCAATTGTGGTAGTACTCAGCGAGTGTGAGAGAGCGGTGACCACAAGCTGTAAATAACCTTTGAAGTGTGTTTAATATGGGGGTCTGAATCCCTCTGTAGTGGTCAATATTTCAACTAATGGCCGGTAATGGAACAACATGTGTCAAAATAATGAGGAATATTCTTCTTAATAATATATATAGTAGTAGTATTTAGTAATTAAGTTGAATAATATGTGTGTTGGGCTACGAATTCTTGTACAGTAGGTGTCTGTGACTTGTTGGCGATAAATTCAAAAATAAACAAACAGCACGCAATCCACGTGTTTTCAAAATAATAATATATATATATATATATATATTCGAACTAGTTAAACATATGTACAACAAATTCTTTACACTATAGAGATCATAGGCATATCGTAAACCCTGTATACATAGTTCTCTTCTTGTCAAAAATCCACTTAGGCCTATTCAGTTGCTTTAGAATTTCATGTAACAAGCCGAACTACCTTTCTCTATTTCCATCGCATTGATATTCCATGTATAATTCATTTACAATTATAGCGTGAGTTACCACAGTCGTATACTGCTCTTCCAGTAATCATCCGGTCCTTACTTCAGATATCATCTGTTCCTTTTGTCAAAGTGCACTTAAGTTAGTTCAGTTACTTAAGAACTCGCTTTGACGGAATAAACTATACTTCTTATCTCTTTTAAAACTGTTAGTTTTACTCTAACATATTAATCGTTAGGCCTATATTAACAATTAGCCCTTTCACTCCTACGGCAGTTAACATTTACGTTTAACTTTCCTTGGCCGAACTTCTACTTCCCGTGACTATAATTTATCGTCTACTATGTCTGTTTGCTGTTCCCGCTCGTTTCACACTATTTATATATTTATCACTTAATCGTCTGCTAGAAATCTCTATATCCTCGACATCAATAAATTTCACGCGACATTCGATAGCCTCAACATCAAAGAATTATAAACACAACTTCCAATAATCATCTGCTTTTAACTCTCTTATTATAAAAAAAAACTAAACAATCATGAAATATTAACTCACAAAATAATTAATTAATACTACCTACGCTAAACAGTCTTTTATATCATGAAAATATACTTCCTCTCTGCATTTAATGATACGCGAAGTAAATGATAGGCTTCTAAAGTCTCGATTTCTGAGTTCGTTGCGTGTTCAAGGCTGAAAGTGAAATAAATATCATCGTTTCTTTCTGATTGTTTGTGTTTAAAACTGTTATGCAGAAGGATGTAACAACAGAACATACAAAGTTTAGCCAGAAATATAGAAAAACAGTTTAAAAGATTTACAGTGTGGTGAAAATACCACCATAATATATTCAATTTTATGATGGTATTTTCACCACACTGTAAATCTTTTAAACTGACATTTTATCGTATGCTGCTTCACAAACACGGTGCCTAAATATGACATAGGCTGTATTGTTATATTCAAACAGGGGACCACGAACGTTTGTTTGTTGTTTTTTTTTTGTCTGTAATTAAGCATAAAGCTACACAATCGGCTATCGTTTTAAATTAATGAAAAAACAGTTAGCAATAACATTTTTGTGTTTTCACCCTCTAGTTAAGGATGAATATTGCTTTGTCGGTAAACTTGCTGTTAAAACACGTTAAAGAAATAAACAAAAACAATACTGACATTTTCTTCTGTAGGCAAGTTCTGAAAAATAAGATTCAATATAAAGTAATATATATATGAGCAATCATTTTAGAATTTCTGTTTATATACAAAGGTCGAGATCACTACTTTACAGACATAAACTTGACCTGCCACTAAGATAAGTGTTACACTATAAACCTTTGAATTATCGTCTAGTTTCGTATCCAAAACCAGGAGGAAAAGGCTGAGAAAGACATATTTTTGTGAGTGAGCAAGTATATTAAACAATGAATGATTATTATTCTTTAATCTGCCTCAAGTTAAAAAAGTGAAGTCACATTGTCAGAGTCAATAAGTAATATGTTTAGAAAATGTGTTCTGGTTTATCCAGACTTGAGATGAAAGAGTTAGATGGGCTTATCTTTATGTGGCTTTTGAATAGTAGATGATCACTACATACTGAAGTGATTAGATGGATTTATCTTTATGTGGCTATTAAATAGTAGACGACCACTACATGCTAAAGTGGTTATATTGGTTTATCTTTATGTGGCTGTTAAATAGATGATCAATACATGCTGAAGCGGTTAGATGGGTTTATCTTTATGTAGCTGTTAAATAGTAGATGATTCAACACTACATGATCATTACATGGGGAAGTGGTTAGATGGGTTTATCTTTATATGGCTGTTAAATAGTAGATGATTCAACACTATATGGTGAAGTGGTTAGATGGGTTTATCTTTATGTGGCTGTTAAATAGTAGATGATTCAACACTATATGGTGAAGTGGTTAGATGGGTTTATCTTTATGTGGCTGTTAAATAGTAGATGATTCAACATTACATGATCACTACATGGTGAAAATGATTGGGTGAAGTATCTTTAGCTTTTTATTGTAAATTATATATACATATATGTATTTAAGTAGAGAGTTTCAGAATCCTAAACTGAATTAATCTTAAAACTTCTGGACTCTTAGATAATACCCAATATATCTCAAATGTAGCCACTGTCTAGAAAGTTAATTTTATAATCATAACATGATCAGCATAAGTTAGACAAATTCAACGAAGTCCTTCACACACGATCTAACTCACAGAAACATAGAAGCCTTAGTTTGACATTTTAGATTTGACAATTTGATTTTTAACCGTAAAGAAAAAGTCAACCAAATATGTAATCAAACTTGATATTTTAATGAAAAAATAAACAAAATCACTATTTTAGCTTGATGTTTAGACTGTATCAGTCAATACAGGTAAGTGAAATTTGCCTTATAATTTGTTTGTTTGCTTTTAACAGCAAAGCCACATTGAGCTATCTCTTGTGTCCACCGCGAGGAATCAAGATCGCACTTCGAAAATCAAAAACGATAATATTTTTGGTACATATTTTCTTTAAAAACTGAATTCATTTCTAAATGTGGACTTTAATTTTATCACCAACGTTCTTGGTCAGCAGTAGATAGAACCAGGTATGATCTAGTTAACGTGCCGGGCTGCGTATCAGAGGATTCGAGCCCGCGACATGCTGCTAAACATACTTAGAACATAGGTTAGAATTACAAACATCACCATTAGATAATTTTATAATTTTTGTGTTTGACATTTATTATATTTAAAAAAAAATACAAATTCAAAATATTCGCTGTCAATGTTCAGAAGATATTTTAATTATTATCCCCCCACAGTGGCTCAGCTGTAAGTCTACAGGCTTAAGACGTTAAAAACCGGGTTTCGATACCCGTTGTGGGACACAACAGAGATAGCCCATCGTGTGGCTTTGCGCTTAACAACGACAATAGTTGATCATTAAACAGGTTAAGAAGGCATTAATTTTCAGCACTTCAAACATTACTTTTACCTTTAAGCTTCACTGTCTTAAACTAGTGATTCTCAAAAGACCCGCGAACCACCTACTGGTCCTACCCCACTTTGTTGAAGGTTCTAGCCTGTTCTCTCGATTGGCTTCGGCCTTGACGTTGCACGTCAGTGTCTTACATTTTGAATTATTCCGTAGACCACCAGTGGTACCAGAACCAAACTTCGAGAACCACTGCCTTAAACTTATAAGAGAACCCCGCTAATTACGAGTTCTAATCAACAGTTGTGACATATTTTATTGTTTTGACACGAAATTGTCAGCCAGCACCAACTGTTTCTCAAACATATTTGTGTCTCGTAAGAGTCTAGACCTACGTTTGTTAGCAGACTGTGTGTAAGGAAATTTTTGAATAATTTATGCATTAAATAAATAAAGTTCGATTTCATTAGAATCGATATAGGTGTGCACAGATCAGCACAAAACTTTAATTAATATAAGGCAATGTGTTTCCTATATATATTCAGCCAGCATCCTTCCCCCCCAACTGTCGCCAATCTCTTCAATTCTCCGCCTTTTTGTGTGCGCAAAAACTGTCGATTTTCTTTTATTCTTCCCCCGGCGAACCCCCTTTATTATTATGATTATCGTACAAATCAAAATTAATTATAATGCATGACTGGAAGTGATACGTTCTGTTGTTCCCTAGAAACTAGAAATGGCAAGGCAATGTCGTTGAATTATGAATAACACGCAAGCACCATGAAGCCGTCTGTTCTGTTTCACAACCTGTATTCGTATCGATTACACCTGGGCCACACAAGGCGGGACAACTCGTGACAACGGCGACTCTCCCAGCCGTTGCATTTAGCACACAATTTCCTATAGCTCAAGAACTCACCCTACATGTGCAAACGCAGGATCTAAAGCACGTGCGAATCGTCGACTCCGCCTGCTTGTCAACTCAAGTTAAAGCTTTATTGAATGCAAACAAAGCATCTCTACAAACCGGTCATTATCCTGCCGAAGGTGTTTAAGATAAAACTTTTTTATTTTGTCTGTTTGTGGAAAACGAGTGCTTGCTTACGAAATATCTTAAGCATTGGAATTATCACGACATTTTGAATGTGGATATATATATTATCATGTTAAAAATAATCAATTATTTAATATATTTAAAGGGATTTAAGCAGTTACGGATAAAGAGTCTGAAGTTTTATTGTCATAGATTCGACGATAAAGCGTAGTTATCTCGTGAGAATTGAATTAATCTGTTATAGATTCCATGATTATACGAAGAATTAAATTGATAAAACATAAAATAATTGTTCCTTATGACAGGAAAACCTCGAATTACCGATGATCGTTCATTTCAGCCTCATCAGCAGTTTAAAATATATTTGTTTTTTTTAAACTATCTACGAACTAAACGGCACGTTATAAATGTGACAGCCAAACTCACTATTCGGTTAGGAGTAGCCGTGTAGGCGGCGGGTGCCGCGTTTGGTTGCCCTTCCTCTGGTCATTAGTTCAAAATTAAGGACGGCTACGCCTGTGCTTTTGTGTCTCTGATCTTTTCGGTCAGGTTGAAAATAACAAATACGAGCAGTTAATACCGAAACGTAGTTGTTGAGAAGAGTTAATGAATTGAAAAACACCGAGGACCCAGAGCTATAAATACGAGCAGTTAATACCGAAACGTAGCTGTTGAGAAGAGTTAATGAACTGGAAAACACCGAGGACCCAGAGCTATAAATACGAGCAGTTAATACCGAAACGTAGCTGTTGAGAAGAGTTAATGAATTGGAAAACACCGAGGACCCAGAGCTATAAATACGAGCAGTTAATACCGAAACGTAGCTGTTGAGAAGAGTTAATGAACTGGAAAACACCGAGGACCCAGAGCTATAAATACGAGCAGTTAATACCGAAACGTAGCTGTTGAGAAGAGTTAATGAACTGGAAAACACCGAGGACCCAGAGCTATAAATACGAGCAGTTAATACCGAAACGTAGTTGTTGAGAAGAGTTAATGAACTGGAAAACACCGAGGACCCAGAGCTATAAATACGAGCAGTTAATACCGAAACGTAGCTGTTGAGAAGAGTTAATGAATTGGAAAACACCGAGGACTCAGAGCTATGGTAAAATGACATATTCATGTTTTTACCAACAATGTAATTTTGAAATATATGTTATTGTTCTTCTGTATGGTTTCCAATGGTTTGGCTACTTTTAGGTGAATATCTGACCTTTAAACACACACACAAATCAAAACTGAAGATTACAAATATAGAAAAAAACGTAAAAACACTATCCTAACAGTTACGAAGTAATATCGATTGACTGTATATTTTTACTAAATTTTTTTTTGACTTTACAGACAACGTTTACCTTCAGGTTGTTTCAATTTACGGAGATAATTTTGATCCACCTCAATTCTCGTTGGTGAAAGTGTAACACAATAGTTGGCGGTGGGTGCTGCCGACTGGTTTCCTTCCCTCTGTCGGCAGTTCACAGTTAGAAACGGAGGCAGGTAGCATTTTTCCAAGCTGGCGAAACATGATTATAATTAATTATTCTTGTCATACGACATTAGTATTAGGCCTGTTAAATTTCTTAACTCCGTAAACGATTTATGTAAATAAAGCTCCGACCACTAATGTGTTTATTGTGTCTCAGTCGGTCTGATGAGCTCTGGAATGAGCGAAACGCGTCGTCGACAATGGATATGGCGAACATAATGTGGTTGAAATACTATCATTATATATTTTTTCTAATTCTTGAAAGTCCCTAAAGGACTAGATAAAGAATGTAGTGTTAAAAGATGTAATAGAACTAATACCACTCTCTTAGGATAAGTGTAATTAGTTACAAACTTCGTTTGTTTGTTTTTTCTGATTTTCACAAAAGCATAATTGGAAAGAAGATTTCTATGATTCAACTGCAAGACAAAGGTTTGAAGATGGTACATATTCTGTTGTGGGTTTTATAACGAACGTGATTCTGCTCGTGGTCATATTTTGACTTCACTTTGTGGATTATCAGCTTGAACGTTGCACTTTACGTGATGGTTGTTGGTATATTCTACTTTTTTGTGGGACGATCAACATTTTTAAAAGTGGAAAATATTGCCTTACTTATTGTATTTTTACATACGAAATATTTTTCTTTATATATATATATATATATGAGATATTATCGGCAAACTTTACCCGCTCTCTTTAAATTTAATTGTTAAAAATTCATAAATTTTAAATTTGATTTGGTATGAATAGTCCACTAAAACTCACACACAACCACAATATACACAATTGTACTTCCAAAGTACATATCCAGACAAACTGTGTGCCTGTGTCATCCTGTTCAGTTCTCGAGTTGCAAATAAATGTAAGTCATTATTAATAAGTTAGTACTATGAGTTAAAATTTTAGTAAAGCCATCATGAATCATGGACTAGACTAGGTGCCAGTTATCCTATAGGCCGTGATTACCATGTCACATGGTACGATCTGTCCAATGAAATACTCTTTGTTGTCCCCTAGGAAAACCAAAATATTTGAGGAAAACTATTTCAGTTTCTAACATGTTACTGGAAACTAGAAACATTTCTCATATATGTAATATACGTAATACAAAGTCGGTTTTCTAACTTATAGGGGCGTTGCTCGATGCTGTTTCGAAGTTATCTGTTTCGTTTACCTTTTCAGTGTTTTTAAAGTTTTTCGCGCAATTTCATGGTTTAGTATTACATACAGGAACTTATCTATCTTCACTTTAGCAGTTACGCTTTTTATAAACTTTTAAAAGAGTGGCATCTTTTTTCGGTGGGGGATTTGTTTGTTTATTTGAAACAAAGCTACACGATGGGCTATCTGTGTTCTGCCCACCACGGGTATCGAAACCCGGATTCTAGCGTTGTAAGTCCGCAGACATACCGCTGTGCCACTGGGGGGCTGGTGGGGGGTGTTGTTAACTAAATAGTCTAATTTAAGAAAAATTCAAATCCGTTATCATTCCATTGCCGATGGCTCATCCGACTAGCACTTACAAAATATAAGTCTTACACGGTGTTTGTCTTGCCTACGAATGGGGCGTGCTTCAGTAACCATGGAAACCGACGAGAGCTAGTTAGAGTGGAGTGAGAAGGTTAGCACTGGTTCTTGCCAAAAGACCCACCACAATTTCAACAACATACAATTTACCATCTCTCAGATTTGATAACAGGGCTTCTGCAGCCCAGCTCTAATCACCGAATGAATCAGGCCGCCAAATACACCTTGAGTACTAAACTTGGGTATTCTGTCAGTCGTTTTCACACCATTGGTTAGCAGTAATTCGAAATTAATCGCATAAAATGTCCCCTTCCCCCAGGCAAGGTGTGGCCCAGAAGTTAGGAAAGCTGCTTGAACACGTGTGATTGCTGGATTTGGGTGATTATCTGAAGACCGGTGATTAGTGCTCGTTTGCTTTGAAAGAGATAGCGAATAAGGAAGAGTTGAAACACCCCACCTTCCCCGCCCATGTTTCTTTTCATCACAACTTAAGGAAAAAAAAAAAACCTTTATAATTCAAACACGTTTCTTCACAGATATTGTTGTTTTTTCCTCTTCTATCACTACACGTGTTTATCATTTTGTAACTACAGCAGTTAATACACATAATGATTACATATGTAATCATTTTTACAGATAACACGTTTCTTCACAGATATTGTTGTTTTTTCCTCTTCTATCACTACACGTGTTTATCATTTTGTAACTACAGCAGTTAATACACATAATGATTACATATGTAATCATTTTTACAGATAGGAATAAACAGATAAGCAGCTGTGTCTGTTAAATGTACAATTCCAGTAAGAAGAATCCACATACTTCACAGAAACATATTCTGAACTCCACGCTGAAGTTAGAACAATTGCATTCAAGAAAATGTGGTGTGTGACACATTTATTCATCAGGTCACTAACTAGCAAGATTTGTGGTTATATTACTACTACTACACACACATATATATGTATGTGATGTGTGACACATTTATTCATCAGGTCACTGATTGGCAAGATTTGTGGTTATATTACTACTACTGCACACACATATATATGTATGTGATGTGTGACACATTTATTCATCAACTCACTGATTGGCAAGATCTATAGTGATACTACACACACACACACACATATATATATATATATGTGCTGTGTGACACATTTATTCATCAACTCACTGATTGGCAAGGTTTATGGTGATACTACACACACACACACACACATATATGTGCTGTGTGACACATTTATTCATCAACTCACTGATTGGCAAGGTTTATGGTGATACTACACACACACACACACACATATATGTGCTGTGTGACACATTTATTCATCAACTCACTGATTGGCAAGGTTTATGGTGATACTACACACACACACACACATATATGTATGTGCTGTGTGACACATTTATTCATCAACTCACTGATTGGCAAGGTTTATGGTTATACTACACACACACATTTATATGTGCTGTGTGACACATTTATTCATCAACTCACTGATTGGCAAGGTTTATGGTTATACTACACACACATATATATGTATGTGCTGTGTGACACATTTATTCATCAACACAGCAATCCTACAATGATAGACTGTATAAGTGTGGTGTTTTTAATTGCCTTTTACTCACCACAACGAACCTACAGTGATAGACTGTATAAGTATGGTGTTTTTAATTGCCTTTTACTCACCACAACGAACCTACAGTGATAGACTGTATAAGTATGGTGTTTTTAATTGTCTTTTACTCACCACAGCGAACCTAGGTTTATATGTGATTTGAAGAATATGTATATTTTCTTCCCTATTTATGTTTAGTATCTTAAACAACTTGCCTGATGAATAATTTAGAAGAACAAAAATAGTAACACTGGCTCTGGTGACAAATACAACTAGAATTTGTATCGAAGTCCGACATGTTAGTCCTAACATTTTTTAAGTAGCGAGTCCTGCATTCTTTATTCGAGTGGTTCATTTCAGTTGAAAATGGTGAATTTATTATATTTTACAATGGTAACTGTACTTGTTCAGAGGCCATTATTGGTGTAATCACGTTTTAATTTCCATCTAACATGGCAAAACAAACAGATGTCACGTGACTTAAGTGAATAAAAAAACAATTAAAAATACCATACCTATAATTCCTTCTTTCTCTCTCCTTTTTCTTACCCAACCTGAATGGGTTGCACTAAAAGGCCAGGTTAAGTGTAGCTGTTCCTAGGTACGAACTACTGATCAGATGAAAGGAGCGGTCAGTCAGACAGCTGCACTAGCTGTCACAAGGGCTTTGCTCGGCTCCTGAAACCGAATAACTGAATTGTTGACTGTCACTTTTACAACGTGCTCACAACTTTAAATGCACGTTCAGTGGCATCACGTCTCGAACCTTGGACCTTGCGATCTGCTTACAAGCACACACTCCAAGGGGCAAATATTTGATAACTTGCAGAGGACAATGTCCCTATACTCTTTAGCATTTTTTTCTCGCCGGAACGCTATCCACTATGCTACATCCGGGTAACAAGGTAAAAAATTGATAATTTGCAAAATATTGATTCTTTACGCTTTAGCATTTTTGAACCGTCACTTGTTACACTGTATCATAGATGTTAATCTGTTGTTGGAAACTGGAGCTTTGATTTAGTGCCCCGACTTAACATAACATAAATTTCTGTTTGATTGTAGTTGGACACGAACATGTTTCCTATCTCTCACACTAAACACTCGCTCCCTCCCTCCCCTCCAGTGGCTCATCGGTAAGTCTACAGGCTTACGACACTAAATATCGGGTTAGATACCCGTGGTACACAGATAGCCCATTGTGTAGTTTTGCACTTAACAACAACCCAACCACTACCCACTCTATAATGAATAAAGATGTGTTGATAATGCTGCATTTGTGTTTATCACAATGTCTGGTAAATTTAATAAATTCAACTTTTTTATATACAGAGGAAGCAAAAAAAAAGGTTTGACTAAACATTCCAATTGCGAGTACATAACATTACTTATATTTAGTTTGTTTGTTCTGGAAGTTCGCACAAAGCTGCACAAAGGTTAACTCCGCTAGTCGTACCTAATTCTAAGCTGATAAAGCACAGGCAGCTAGTCGAGAGCGCTAACCGCCAACTATTGAGCTAATATAATCGAATAGTGTGATTTTAACGTCACTCTTTTAATGCACCCACGGCCCCAAAATGCGTAACATGATCTTGCGACAACGGGATGCGAACCATGAACCCTTAGTTTCATATTTTACCACGCTAACTACTTGGCCACGCCCTGGTCCTTTATTTTCACACACACACACACACATACACACAACTAAATGATGTACAATTAACACGAGACAGAAAATCCACACTTTGGGTTATAAAACAGAATGATAAAGAGACTCGACAAGCACTCAAAACCTCCTTAGGATATAGGGTTCTAACATATATCGTTTTGTTACGGAAAAGAAATATAGCCTGTGTCATAATCGACTGATTCCCAGGTGTCGTAATCCACTAAATATGTATATTAGTTTAAAACTCGAAATTCTCGTATCAATTTAAAGATTCGTTAATGTACCTAACAGGTCTGTAGGAAGAAAGCTATAAAGGGGAGTGCTATACTTAAGGATAAAGGAAACGAGTCGTAAAGCCATTGTGGGGAGTCCAGGGGTATGCTCCCTCGAAAAAAAAAAAGTTATAATCTTTACTGGAAATTGTGCATTTTCATGACAGCTTAGGCTGTTTTTAGACCTTTTAAATATCTTTTCAAGGGTGCAATTTTAATGGCGCCGCACCCCATCCCATCCCTATTCCCTCTCTTTCTCTCTGCCTAAATGCATATACTAGCTCTACTGGATATAACGAAGAAGGTACATATTATCCCACTGGTTTTTAAACATTTCATTTCTAAATTATCAATACACAAAATTGCTTTGTGTTCATAGACAGGATCTTTAATAATGTATAAGTCACACACTATTACACACGAAGGTGAACAAAAAATACAATCAGTTCTGAAATTAATTTCGCTAGTTATTGCTAAGACTTCCTCTGTTGTTGTTGTTGTTTTTACAAATGGCTGATTTCACTCAATATATTTGGTCAGTTCTTTACATCGAATGTCGAAACAGACCAAAAGTATGAAATTTCTCAATTATACAATATGTGAACCCTCACCCGTAATGAACGGTAATTGGAGGGCTAACCAGTTTTGATAAGCTTGAGAAAAAACAGTGGGCTTATATGATACGCTAGGTGAAATGTGACGCGGTTTGTTGCTCTGTCATCATTCCAGCAAATGTGTATTTGTAATTTACACACTTTTTTTCACGTTCTTGTTATTTATTTGGTATTTTTCTACATGAATCGTAATATTTTTATCAAACAGTGATATTACAGCGATAAAGTTTAAAATAAT